GCATAAGGCTTTCTTCCTGTCTTAAAATATGTAAGTACCGTTGACCAATTCAGCATTGGACGGCAGCCAATTAATTGTGGTTTCTGTATCTTTGGGTTTTAGATGTGGAACTTATTAACACATTAAAAAGAAGTAGAATGAGTTTTGGCGATAGGTAGTGTAAGTGTGTAAGCATATTTTGATCTTAGTTTTTATTATACTTAAATTATCCTGATCTCTTTTAATTAGAGTTATTGCATTTCAATCATGAAACTAATAAGAAAAACGAAAAGTTTTTCAATAAATTAAATCTAAAAATTTTTTATAATTAAAATTAAAACTGCCCGTTTACAACTATATTCACCAATTATTTTCCTCATCTCCAATTAATTATTGTATGTGTTAAAATTATCTCCAATTATTATATTGCTAAGTGTGATAATTAAATTTAACTATCTTTTATATACATATTGGTTTAGAAGAAAATCATGATTAATAAGAAGACAATAGGCTATAAACAGTTAATGAGAAAACAACAGGTTAAATTGATGATTAAATTCACTGTATTATGTCATATTGATTAAAAAAAACTCCAAAGAAATTATTGACAATTATATATATAAAAAAAAAAAAGCAGAAAAGGTTTACATTTTAGAACAGCACACGAGGAAACTCGAAAGGATTCTGCATCTCCAGGGTAATCGTTCCATGTAAGGATGCGTATCTAGTTTGTATTATGCCTACCATATCGCTGGCAAATTGGCAATGTCGTCGTGACTGAATAATTGACCATCAGCGTCAACCTCTGTACAGTATTACCATACATGCTAACAAGGCGTACCTAATGTTTTTGAATTGGTGATACACCTAAAACTTAACCATGGAACAGCTGCAGTTAATTAGGAGGGTTCTCACCACTGCTCTATCAATTATTCGATTTTTGGCCCTTCTCCCCCAACCCAAACCCCCCCCCCCCCCCAAAAAAAAAAAAAAGGTTCATGAAAGTGGTTGTGGTAAATAGTCTTGAAAAGCTACTTGTTCAATTTTGCTCACAATATTTGTAATCTTTTAGTACATAATAACCAAAAGATATTTTTTGTTTTTCCTTTTAAGTGAGTAGCTATATATATATATATATATATATATGGGATAATTTCAGAAACCTCCCCTGAGGTTTCTGACAGTCTCACTCACCTCCCCTGAACTTTGTAAAATATCAGATACCTCCCCTGAACTTATAGTTGGAGTAACAAGATCCGCCTATGTCAGAAAAATGAGCATTAAAAAAATATTTTGAGGAGTGAGATGATATTTGTGTTCCACATATGCCCTTTTTGCTTATCCACAACTTGAGCTAAAGCAAAAGCAAAAAAAAGAAGCAATAAGTTGAACCAGATAGAGACAATGCAGATGGCTTCTTCAAGCAATGTTACAATGCTATTTATATTTTTTTGTTTTAGCTATTAGACATTTATTTAGCTAATATGATCATTCAATTAATTGAAACATACTTCTGGTGATATAAAAAAAATGTATAGTTTTATAATTTGAGTGATTAAAAGTATAAATTTTTACTCGTTAGGTCACAAAAATTTTTTCACTATTTGGTTAATTGAGTGAATGGCAATTGCAGTTAAATAAATAATGTAACGATCAAATAACCAAATTCTCAATAGTTTAATAACTCTTTTTGTGATTTTCTCTGTGAAAAATGAAATGAAGTATTTTTTAGTGCTAGATACTTTAGTTGAGATTTTTAAAAAAAAAAAAATTAATTCACACTGTAGTTAGTCGAATTTATTCAACAAGCTTTGTTTGAATACCAGAACTTAGGTAGATCCGATTTTCAAAAAATTCAATAACCCAAATTGTGTCGCATCACTTTATGAGATGATGTAATATACAATTTACGTCATTGAATTTTTGAAAACCAAATTTACCCAAATATAAGTAATGAGTTACACTAGATAATTGTCTTACAAAAAAAAACATGAAATACATGACTTTAAAGAAAGGTAACACTAGTGCTAAACTCTTCATTGGTGATTGTACTACGAATAAAAAGTGTAAAGTGAAATAGAAGGTATTTATCATAAGTTATATCAAAAGTTATCTCTATATTACTCATTTAACTAATTCTGTCAAAATAGCTTCAAAATATATCAAAAGTTATGAGGGTATATCTGTCAATTCATCATCAATGATATCACAAATAGGGTCCAATAATCTGACAAGGGAGGTATCTGATATTCTGCAAAGTTCAGGGGAGGTAAGTGAGACTGTCAGAAACCTCAGGGGAGGTTTCTGAAATTATCCCTATATATATATATATATATATATATATATATATATATATATATATATATATATATATGACCTTTCCACTCTATTCTACGTCCTTTATGTCCCATGTCCCAACTATGATTCAAATTTAGAACTTGATAGCAAAGAGAACTTTAAAAGTAGTCCCTACTCACCAAAAAATCCACAGCTATAAGCGAGCAGGTATCATTATTGGTCATAGTCTTGATGAGAAAAATGCAATTTTGGTATTCAAACTTAGACAGATGAGTAATTTTAGTCCCCAAATTTTGGACAAAAACAAATTTGGTACCCAATCTTTCAACTATTGAGCAAATTTAATACCCTTGACGGATTTTTCCCAAATTGCTACTAGAAAAAGTCACGTGATAGTCATATGTCCAGCAATTATTGTATAAAAAAATACCAAAAAAATGTAAAATTTCCTTCTGACACTAAGTGTCACGTAAATTACTCTTCTGATACTAAGTACTAAGTTTAAGAACTAATAATTTTATTAAGTAAAATATCCTTGTAACACTAAATACTAAGTTTAAGAACTAATAATTTTATTAAAAGGATATTTTACATTTTTTGGCATTTTTTTATATAATAGTTGTTGGACATGTAACTATCATGTGACTCTTTCTGGTAGCAATTTAAGAAAAAATCGTCAAGGATATTAAATGTGCTCAAAAATTAATAGTTTAGGTACTAGATTTTTTTTCGTCGAAATTTGGAGACTAAAAGTGCTAAGTTTGGGTACCAAAAGTGCATTTTTCTCTAGTTTTGATTGTCAAGTTTGGTACGTGTCTGCCTGAAAACAGTCGGTGTTGTCAGAGTCTTTCCTCCGCCTTCGTCATTTGCTTTTGGCTTTCTTTCATGCTTTACTTTGTATGATTTACCTTTTTTTTTCTTTTGGCTGCCGGTAAAGGTAAATGTAATTTTAGGAGCATTTCAGGAAACATACAAGCAAAAACCTTTGGAGCTAGCTGGCTAACTCGTACAACGCTTACTTGAAATAAGGATTAATATTTTATACATCCAAAAAACTAACAAATTTGAATATATGTCACATATATCTGATTAGAATTCATATTATGTGATATGATTTAAATTTATTAGTGTAGAAAAAATTATACATTGATAATGTATAAAAAAATTATCCTTAAATTAATAATAATAATATTAACATTGAGGAGTTACAAGTAAGTCGAAGATTGATGCCACACCCCAAAAAAGGGAAAACGAGTGTTTGGATACCTCAATTATTTCAAATAATATTTTGCTTGCATCACAAACACATTTCCCAACTTACCTTTTTATATTCCCAATCACCTTTTTATCTCACATACATCACATCACAAAAAGTGTTACAGTAATTATTCCAAATAATATTTTAAATAATACACTATCCAAACAATAATTGTGATAGCACCATGTGGATGGTTGACCTATGCGGGGGGTGCATGGATAAGCTCGATCATAATTTCCATAGTAAATCAAACTACTTGTAAGTAGAAAATGGGGATAATTTTAGAAACCTCCCCTGAGATTTCTGATAATTTCACAGAGCTTTCCTAAAGTTTGAAAAATTATATATACTTTTCTTATTATTTAAAATGATAATACTACCCTTAAATATTTTAATGAAATTCCCTTATTTGGTATACTTATACTTAGAATGACTTTTAAAATTATTTTTTCATTATTTTTTCTTCTTATTCCTTTTTATTTTAATTTTTTGTCAATAAAACTATAGAACTATCACTATTATCTCTAGTTTCTATTATAACTAAATATCGAACTAGTGATTTTTTTTTATGAGTTAACTTTATACGTAATCCAATGTTTTTTACTAATCTTTGTTTTCTATTTTTTAGTATTAAAATTAACAATAAATCAAAAAGAAATTGCCCAAAACCAATACCAAATTATGATAATCCCATTACTCGAAAAATTCATAAACTCTGAATCAATTATTTCAACGTTTTATTTTCTATCTTATAAATCTAAATCCATAATAAAATACTATAAAAAATATCGTATCATAGTGATAAAATTATTATTATAATTGTTTATCAAATAGTAGGTATGAACATGAAAAATTAGATACCTTTTCCTTATAATTACATTAAATAATTTTATAATTCTATAGGGAAGTAAATTAAAACTCATTACACAAGGATATTTTTTTGGATATTTATTTAAAAATTTGACCAATTCAATATTATTTTAAGTTTTGTTACTAAAACTATCAAATCAATAAAGGTATGTGTAATTATTTAAATCTCAGAGGAACTCAGTGAAATTGTTAGAAACCTCCTGAAATTATCCCTAGAAACACCTTACGTAATGACTAGAGCCGTGCTTTTGTGGGAATTGGGAATATGTCAATGATGGGGTAATGCCTACTGTCTAATTCAGCCATTTATCAGCATATTTCCCCACTTCCCTACTCTGCCTTCCCCACAAACCCCACAAAACCCCCAAAAGGAAAGAAAAAATTTCCCATTTCTTGATCAGATCCACCCATCGTCACTGACTGCCTTCCTCATCAACCATGGCTGAGAAGGTAAGCCAATTCTCTTGCTAGCTTTCCAAACCATCCCTCAAATGTGGTGATATTATTGTTTTGCATCTTTTTTTTTCCCCCTTTTTTAGTCTTTGCTCAGTTAGTGGCTTTATTTCGTACGGACAAGAATTTGATTTTTTTTTTTTGTTTGGGGTGATGCTCAATTTTTTTGGACAAGAGAAATCAGAGACCATGTATATGATGAGAAGCGAGATCTGGTGACCATCCCCGTGGTGTGCTGTAGCCCGGAGAAAATCCGCGACAAATTATGGGTGACCAAGGCATTAAGAGCACTGAGATCATGGAGCCAGATAAGATCAGGCCGCCCGAGAAACCTGAGGAGGCCGAGAAGCCCAAGCGGCCGGAGAAGCCTGAGGAGACCCAAAAACCCTCAGTTATAGTAATTGAAAAGTCGAAGATGCCCTGGGTGCCCCCAGGCGACGACCGCTTGCCCCGCGTCGAGGACGATGGGAAAGTCAAATACTTTCCTTAGTTGTTTACAAATTAGTGAATTACTGCAAATATTTTCCTTAGTTGTAGAAATTTACTTGGAAATATTAATGCGAATTACTTACAGCCCAGTATCATAGACTAAAGTCAGCTTGAGAAACACAACAGCCTGCTTCATCTCCATAAGATAACATTATATGACCTTCACACAGAATATTTGGAAGTCTTTTCATCATAAGCATATTAGAGGGGATGAAGGAAACATATAATGGTCTAATCTTAGTCCTTAAAGAGGATAAAGGAGAACTGGAAGGCCCTGAGCAGGGCGGGGAATTGGATAATGCAAGATCTTCTCATTGGGAATCAGCTTTTCTCATCTGAACTTGGTCACCACATTATGCAGAAAAATGCATATGGCTAGCCTTGCATATTCATATCCAGGGCACATATGTGCTCCTCCCCCAAAGGGGACAAATGTATAAGAAGATGGACCATCCCCTTGGAACCTTGATGGATCAAACTTTTCAGGGTTAGGAAAGTATTCTGGGTTCATGTGCGTGGCATATGCATTCCAGTGCATCTGCAGACATCAAACATAAATGTTTATCCTTGGCCGGTAATTGAAAACAAATTAATCTCAAGATTTACAAGGCAGAAGAATGTCAAATTTATTTACCATCCATCCTTGAGGGACTGTATATCCTCCATAGTCCACATCAGTAATTGCCTCTTTGAATCCCCCGAGTGCTGGTGATTTCAGTCTCAGAGCTTCACATGCAACATTCCATGAATACTTCATCTTCCTTAGATCCTCCCAACTGAGTCTGTCTTTTGATTTCTTTAGACGTGCAATTTCTTTTTGCTCTTTCCCCCATTCATGGAAAACATATTACTATTAGCAAAGATCTTTTAGCTTGAAAATCTTTCAAACAAATGAAAACATATTCTTCTGTTTCATCCTAACGTAAACATACAGATGCAGGAGCAGAATTAGCTATTGATTTACCTCTTAAGACCGAGCTGTAAACATCTGGATGCTCTGTTAGATACATCATGATGTTGGTGATTGTGTGGTGTAAGGTTCCATAGGCAGCCTGAAGCGCACCTAGTAAATGGCTAGCAATGTCTGCTTCATTAAACGGCTGTCCATTGTCATCTGTAGCTTGAAGAGCGTGCGATATGAAGTCTTTTCCCGATGGTGAATCCAGGCAGACAATCTTTCTTTGCCTGATCATTTCCTCAAACTCTTCCCGCATCAGCTTTGATGCTTTAATGGCGCGACGGAAAGCTGATCCTGGAACATCTAAGGGTACTGAATGCATACCATCCGTAACCTCCTCGATACCCTTTCGAAGTTTATCAATCTTTCCTTGATTCTCGATTCCTAAGAATATATGACATTCCAATTTAAATATAAACTTTCTTGCAACATCACTAACCTTTACTCTTTCGCAATTCCAATCTGTTTGCAGATGATGTTTCATTACTTCATCCATTTCACCAACGTACTATCGAAGCACATCGCCCTTAAGAATGAACGCCAGGAGTTTACGCAGTGATTTTGAGTGCTCAGTGTTGAGCTTGTTATTTGACTTGGGAAAGAGTTTGTCAAATGCGCTCGGCAACCAATGCTTGAAAAGCTTATTCTCGTTGGAGAACAGAAATTTGTTGCCCTCAGCATCGCAGAAGATGGCCACAGGGAATCCAATCAATGATGTCCTGAAAATATTGGAGGAATATTTCTTCCTCCTATCTGCTACAAACTTATGAAGGCAACCTTGGTTAGCTCTGGAGAAAAAATCCAATGTTTCGCCTACAAGAGGCCAGCCTGATCTTCCTGGCGGTAGCCTTGGCTTTTCAGCAGCTAAGTTGGGTTTTGAAATTTGAGATTTTTTTTCTCAAAATAAACTGGTGAAGAAACAGATATAGGATTGGAATTAGAAACCAAAGAAGCAGAAGGAGATGCTGAAATTCCATCACCATGTTTGCCTTTGCTAGCTGTCTTGAGAGTCTTGAGACGGGAAGCAAAGATTAGATCAAGAAAGGAAAGCACAGTTACTCAAACTAGTAATGAATTGCATATTTGAATCCTTACATATACTGATTTCCAGCTAACATTGATAAGAATCTTTCTGTCGACTAACTATAATTGCTTGAATTATTAACAACTAATCATAGGTCTTGATTTGTCTGGATCATTTAGCAACTTATGTTCATTTAAATGCTTGACAATGACCATTAATGCAAACTTGTTAACTGTACGTTTATATTGAATATTCATTAATTAATTGGACAGTAAGTTAATTCTTGCAGACTAACCAAAGAAATGATGAGATTAAAAAAAAATTTGGTGATTAGAGGTCCTTCGTTAAGTAATTTCTTTTAATGTACAATTAAAGAAGTGAAAATAAAAATTAAAAAGAAAAAGAAAAAGAAAAGTGTTTCCTCATTACCAATGTATTCGTATTTCCCACACACTAATTAAATTTTTTTTTTTTAAAAGGTACCCTTTTCCATGTTGATGTAATATTAAACTTCTGATACAAATGATTTGATGCTCAAGCAGTCATTGGTTGGATTCAAATAATTATTAGTACACTAAAATCCTGTTCTATCATGCTTAGAAGTTAGAATTGGAATTTGGCTTAGGACTATTACATTTTAGAGTTTTTTTTTTCTTTTTAAACAGTTCTGAATCAATAGTGATTTTCTACTTACTCTTTTGATGATTCGAATCCGTGACTTGTCAATTACTGATAAAACGTCTTTCTAATTAAACCGCACTTCATTGTCAATTATATATTAGAGCTAGTTATCGGATTAGATGTTACAAAACAAAGGTGGATCACTGCATGAATTTGGCATTTTACTTTTACCCAATAAAGATAATAGCTCGTTGTATATGATTATTCAATACGTGTTGTCATAATGTCAAGTAGAAAATTTGTTTACCCAGACCATTATAATTGGACAAAGAAAAATTTAAATAGACGCATTATTACGGAAACTGAAGCCTTTAAAAGTTCCAGTATAGATTAGCAGGTATGAGCCTAAATTATTAGGACAAGGCCTAGGGGTGGCAATTCTTGACACGACCCGAAAACACGACACGAAACTAACACGAAATTAATGTGTTTGGGTTGACGTTTCGGGAGTTCGGGTCAGAATCGGGTCGAACCCCGATGAACCCGAAAAGAAAACAGGTCAATTTCGGGTCAACCCGTAGTAATCTGATATGACCCGATGTGACCCGTTTACGAATTAAAACTAATTTAATAAACATAAAAATTATTTTATCTAACTAAACTAGATCATTCTTTTTTTCCAAAGGCATTAATTACTTAATCCTAAATGAATTTATTTAACTTGTGTGAAGTTAAAATTATTATATTTGGACAAATAATATATTATGTTATTTTTTACTTTTATGCTGTTCTAATTTATTTTATATTTGGTTTGGGATAAAACACTTTTGTGGTGTTTAATTTATTTTAGATTTGGTTTGAAATTATTTATTTAAATTTTTATTACTTGATGATGTAATTAATTTTGTGAAAAATTGATTTTATTAGAAATTACAGTAATAAATTAATAAATTAAAATAAAGTTTCGGGTCATTTCGGGTCGACCCGCCAACCCGCCAAATTTTCGGGTTCGTGTCAGGTACCCTGACCCGTTTCGGGTTGGCGGGTCGGGTTCGGGTCAGCAGGTTCTTTGTTATACTTAGGCCTCAACCCGACCCGCCAACCCGAACCCGACCCGATTGCCACCCCAAGGACAAGCTATCGTGCTAACTAGCATCGCTATGATGTTTTTAAAATAAAAATATAAAAAAAAAGAGAACATGTATGACACTATTTAGGATAAACCTTTCCCCTTTTTGATCAAAATTTAGATATTAACAATCCATTTTGCTAATAATATGATTAATTTTGTCACCTCATTTTCTTATGATGTGTGTTTTCTTAATTCTTTTTTGGTATAATGACACTTTGCCCCCTTCAATCAAAAGAATACGCACTTTACCCATCTAGAAATATTCCGTTTGATGTTTTACAGGTCCTACTCTGTTTGGATCCCCTGTTTTTGGAGTATTTTTCAAAAACTAGTTTTTCAAATACAATAAAAATTTTTAAAATGTACTCTAAAAGGTAATCTAAAAATTAGTTTAAATTTTTTTAAAATTTTAAAAAATATTTCAAAATATATTCTAAAAACTCTTCTACTCTTAAATATTCCAAAATATTTTGTAAAAAATTCCAAAATATACTCTAAAAACTCTGCTACTGCAAAGTTTTTAAAAAACACCCCAAAAAACAGCTAATCCAAAACAATTGCTGTGACATTCTATTAAAACCAAAAGGTTCTTCTCAAAAGAAAACAACAGATTCTGACAAAATATTACTGCCTCTTCACAAGCTAACATATCATATGTTAAATATATTATAGGTCTTGCAACGAACAAAAGGTATCAAAGCATGACGTTTAAGGCCCCATATAGAAGCCTGCTAAGACTAAATCACAAAAATACCATTACCATACTACTAATTGAGTCTACCAAACACAAAGCAATAGTTGTTTCACCGGTATGCTTGATGCACATGCATGAAAGCCAACAACAAAAGATTGAGAAGAGAAGATTATTGGACCAAGCCTTGTCTTTTGTGTCTGTATAATAGAAATAATCACATAAGTAACCCAAACTTAATTAACTTTGTAGGAAAAACAAAACTAAAACAAAAAATAGTCACACATACAAGATAAGTAGGTTGAATATGTGATCAACCTACATTTACTGCTTTCATTATCTGAAAATGCAAGTTTGTTAAGTAAACTCTAAAACATCATGATGCAACTATGTACATTAAAGTGAATTGTCGAGATTAAATACCCGATCAGCAAGTATAAATGATTTTCTTGTGGATATATCTTATACCATTGCAGTTTCCAAATAATTCTACTCCATAATTCGCTACTACTCTCTTGCCATCCCTCCCACCTCTACCACTGGCTGTTGTTTGTCTCTTTAATAAGTAGCAAATTGTTTACCTCTTCCCCTACCCTCCTTTTGTCGACTATTGTTCTAACACAACTTATTGCTCTTGCAACTCTATAATAAGTTGTCGAATTTCATCCTGCACTCCTACCTCTTTTGACTCCACTAGAACTCCCTAGAGTTCTACCTCCACCTCTACTACCCCATGCTTGTGTCCCTTCCTTGTCCTCTCGACTGTGCTACAGTAGTTGAATTGCTTTGACTTAAAGCTGCAGATATTGCAAGACTATTAACTGCTAACTCAACTTCCCTATCACCCTCCAACAAAAAAAAATTCAAATTAATGATAGTAATATTATTATGCACCCTCCAACATAAAGAGTATTGAAATTTACTTGTGATTCACTCTTAGATGTTTGTCGTCCATTGAATCTTTTTAGATGATGCATTTCTTTATGGTGTATCCTACTTGTGTACAATTACTACAATGGTATATAATCCCCCTTCTTGTTACTCATATAATAATATAGTGATACCGCTTAGCTCATTTACAATAGTTATCATCAATCTTGTAGCATTACTACCCGTCTCTTCATCCGGACCTCTACTTCTCACCTTCTTAGGCCTTCCTGGCCTTCTTCTTAATTGTGAAGTGTTTGTTCGATCAGATTGTGAATCCACCCGATCCTTCTGTTTTGGAGCTGGCATAACAACATAACTATATCCTATTTTATGACTATCTATACTGTAATATGTGTGCACATAACCTAACCAATGCAGTGCATACATGAACACAAGGTATGCATGTTTAAGTCCAATTCCTTGCAGGTGCATGTTCCACAATTAAGATTTACAATCCAATATTCCTATTTTGGATGTGCTTGCTCCCATATTCCTTCATCAGCTGGATGTGCTTGCTTCAAAGTCAAAACTATTTTGGACTTTATGACCTCTACTTCATCATATATCCTCGGACATATGTTGCCCTTAATCTTTGGTATCCATTCAATTTTTTCTTGCAATCTATACATGATCAATCGTCTAATATTCTCGAACATGGTTAGGATATGCTCTTCTCTTGCACTTGATGTGCACTGACATTGAAGCACTCACTAATATTTTTACTAAGAAGATCACACCTGGACCTTGCTATGCTGCATTCCGTAACAATCCCCTAGTGCTCTGTCCTTGAACCTTAATTTGAAATTTACATCGAAGGCGTGGCTTTTGTGCATATTACGCATTACGCGCCTTTGGCCACTATACCATATAAAAGCGGCTGCATTTTGAATCGTTTAAACTTCCAAAATAACGCCTTCTCTTCTTCTTCTTCCATTTCTTCTCCTCTTTCTGAAACCCTTAATAAACCCTCTTCTCCTCAAACCAAAGCCCCAATCAATCATCTACAGATTATCGATTGGGAAACTGAAATTGGAGCAATGGAAAACCTTCCGATACGCCAATTCGAAGATAAAATCGTGGAAACAGTGGACAAAAACCCTGTGGCTGTGATTATAGGAGAGACTGGTTCAGGGAAAAGTACTCAACTTTCTCAAATCCTTCACAAACGAGGTTACACTAAATCCGGAGCCATCGCCGTCACTCAGCCCCGCCGCGTTGCCGCTGTCTCCGTTGCTCGGTAATTTTCTCCAAATCTCCAAAATTTAATGAGATATCTGAGGAACTACCAGCTTTCTTCTGGTTCTTTTACCTTTTTTGAGCTTTATTTTTGTTTAAATTTTCATTTGAGGAGCTGGAATAGGGAAAAAATGAGATAATATAAGCTGCTTTTGAAATTTTGATTTTTTAGGTTCGCATAAATTAAAAATAATTAATGATATTATCAAAGTCGTAATGCTGATGTCGTTGACTTCTAGTTAACTAATCTTATTTAGGGATTCCTATGGTGTTAACGGATTCTAGTGATTTTAATCTTGATATAGTGGCATGGTTTCTGAAATTGGGTTCTTTACTGAAATATGCTGCTTTTTTATTCAATAAAATTATAGATAGATTTACTAGTTTTCCAAAGATAGTAAGTTATTACTGGAATCAGATGCCACATTTGTTTTTTATAGTCTGTGGCTCAGTTCACATATATTTGTGTGCATTGTAAGTTCTTGGAGGAATTGGATATAATGTAC